CCTACAACAGCTGCTTTTCTTAAGCTAACAGGAAGTACTGAAAGAAAGATGCCGGAACAACAACAATATGCAAGCAAAGGCCCAACCAAGAAGACCGAAAGATATCATACAGTTCGCTCTACATTTGACCAACTACGTGGACGGTGCTATCGATGCGGGGATAAATTCCATAAAGCTGACAGTTGCAGGTATAAGGATGAATTCTGCAATTCTTGTAATAAGGTTGGTCACTTAGCAAGGGTCTGCATGGCAAAGAACAAAGCTAGACATATCAACCAGATTGAGGACAGTGAAAATGTAAATGATATTGACCACGCAACGTACGACACATATAAGATACAAATGAATGGTTCTGACAAGTTCATGGTTGAAGTTACACTAGAAGGAAAGCCAATTCAAATGGAATTGGACACAGGAGCAGCTTTATCGTCGATATCATACAAGGATTATAAGCAACTAAATTTGAGTAAAAAGCTATTTCAAACTCATGTACAACTAAGAACTTACACGGGCGAACTCATCAAACCAAAGGGGGTAGTGTATGTCGAGTTTAACTTCAAAGACAAAGCATACTTTGGTAAGCTGTATGTTATTGGACAAAATGTTGAACCTATTTTCGGAAGAGAGTGGCTTAGGGAGATTAACTTAAAAATTGGGGATATCCGAACTATTCAAGAAAACTCGTGTGATCTTTCTAAACTCCTTACAGAATTCTCTGATGTTTTCAAAAAGGAAATTGGTTGTATTCCAAATGAGAAGGTTCATTTATCCCTTCAAGAAGGTTGCAAGCCCATTTTCATCAAACCCAGACAAGTTCCATACTCACTTAAAGGAAAAGTAGAGGACGAACTCAATCGACTAGAGAATGCCGGTATAATCACTAAGGTGAACAATGCTCAGTGGGGAACGCCAATTGTCCCAGTGGTTAAACCCAATGGATCTGTAAGAATATGTGCAGACTATAAAACTACACTGAATAAAGTGATACAAGACGACAAACATCCAATACCTAGGATAGAGGACATTTTCGCGGAAATGAATGGAGGCAAGCTATTTTGTACCTTGGACATAAGCAATGCTTACCTGCACATGCAAATGGACGAGGAAAGTTCAAATATGCAAACTATAAGTACTGAAAAAGGTCTTTACAAAGTCAACAGAATGATGTTTGGGGTTAAGGTAGCACCATCAGTATGGCAAAGGTTCATGGACAGAATACTACAAGGAATTAGCGGTGTTAAATGCTTCTTTGACGACATTATCATACAAGGATCAAATTATGAAGAAACTGTGCAAAGATTGAAGCTAGTCCTAGATAAAATGAGGGAACATGACCTTAGATTGAATTTTGAAAAGTGTAAATTCTTTCAGAAAAGGATTGCTTACTTAGGTCATACAATTGATGAAAATGGACTTCAAAAAGGGTCTGAAAAGGTAAAAGCTATTGTTGAAGCAAAGCGACCTCGTGATGTCAACCAATTACGTTCTTTTATAGGTTTGGCAAACTACTACAATAAGTTCATACCTAAACTGGCAGAGAAACTAAACCCATTGAACAAACTCTTACAGAAGGGCAAGAAATTCGAATGGACCGATGAATGTGAAAGAAGTTTTGAATCTGTTAAAATGGACATTGCCAAAGACAAAACTCTAATCCACTACAATCCATCATTACCTTTGATACTGTCAACAGATGCATCACCAACTGGCTTAGGAGCTGTAATTTCACACAGGCTAAATGATGGAACAGAAAAGCCAATTGCCTTTGCATCTAGATCACTGAGTAAAAGTGAGAATCAATACAGTCAAATTGACAAAGAAGCGACTGCCATTTATTGGGGTGTGAAAAAGTTCTTTCCATACTGCTATGGTAGGAAATTCATTCTTGTCACAGACCACAAACCTCTTGTATCTATTTTTCATCCTTCAAAATCCCTACCTGCAATGTCAGCCACACGTTTGTTAAATTACGCTCTTTTCCTTGCTGGTTTTGACTATAAAATAGAATACAGAAAAACTTCAGACCACTCCAATGCAGATTTTCTTTCAAGATTCCCAGTAGAAAAGTTAGAAGAAGGTGAAGATCTCTATTCAAAATTTCAGATGAATCAAATATCTATGCTACCACTTACCAAAGAGACAATTGCAGAACATACGAAGAAGGATACTTTTTTATCTAAAGTCAAGATAGCCCTTGAAAATGGAGATGATCTTGAGACAATGGGATTAAACAACAACGAGTACACATTACACAAAGGATGTGTTTTTCGAGGTATAAGGGTTGTGATACCTTCATCTCTTCAGAAAGAAGTACTCAAAGAACTACACGTGGGCCACCTTGGGATGACAAAAATGAAAGCAATGGCAAGAAGCTATTTGTACTGGAAGAATGTCGACAGAGACATTGAAGAGTTGGTCAGAAACTGTAAGATATGTTCCCAGAAGAGAAATGAACCTCCAAAAGACAGGAATCACCCATGGGAAGAACCATCTGGACCATGGGAGAGAATACACTTAGATTTCCTTGGGCCCATGAATGGAAGTTACTTCCTAGTCATCATTGATGCCCATACTAAATGGCTAGAAATATTACATACAAAATCTACTACAGCAGAATGGTGTATCAAAAAGCTACAACATCTATTTACAACGTTTGGTCTTCCAGTGACAGTTGTTACAGACAACGGGACACAATTCACCAGCACGGCTTTTCAAAACTATTTGAAAGAAAATGGAATTTGTCACAGAACATGCGCACCATTTCACCCTTCTAGCAATGGACAAGCAGAAAGATTCGTACAAACCGTGAAGAAGGGGCTAAATTCAATGGTGGGGGAGAGAGGTGACATACAAACAAAGATTGATGCATTAGTCACACAGCTGAGGAAGGCACCAAGCTCTACAACTGGAATGTCTGCATACAAGATGATGTTTGGCAGAGACATCAGAACTAAACTAAACGTCATGTCAGATAAAACAGAATGGTTTAGAGTTGAACAAAGGAAGATGGGAAGACAGTTCAGTGTGGGACAAAAGGTGCAAGCAAGGAACTATGCATCCAAAGAAAAGTGGAGATTAGGAGAGATCATCAGTCGAGTGGGCAATGTCATGTACAGAATAAAAATGGACAATGGATTGATATGGACCAGACACACTGACCAGATCCTCCCTCAGAATTAAGAGGGGAGAGTTGATATATATTCAATCTAGTGTCAATTAATAATATTCTATTTTCCTATATTTTAATACCAGCTGACTGGTTAATTATTTATTGTTTTCTGTTGTGAGTCAGTTGTACAATTTAATGTTTTGTTTTCAGTGTTTGTACATTTTACAATGTTCAAATATATTTCTCAAATGTTTAAAAGTTTGTTTAATTTAGACACAATAGTCTCAAATTCGTCTGTCCGCTGCTACTACCAATACTCAAAAACTAAAATTCCCCGTGATTTCTACCTTAGTCCTAGAATAAGTAGTCCAGAAGTTGACGAATAAAGTTAGTCTCCGAATAGACTAGTCCGCGGACTAGGGAGTTAGTTCGCGAGCTCTGAAACCCGATTTTTTATTTGATGACTAACTTTATTCACTGATTAAGTAACTCCAGGATTACGTATTCCCGAGCTCGGAAACCCGCCCTTAGTGTTTCTCTGTGTCCTAAAAAAAAAAAAAAAAACATCTAAGTCCTAAGTTCCACTTATCATCCTTATAGCCTTGTCGATTGTCTATATCACTAAAATGAGTCCGATCTATTTGTGACTAGTAACTGACGTAGATACATGGTAGATACTGATAGCTCAATCTCATGATCTTTGTCTATGGACAGGGCCGGTTCTAGGAATTTTTCAGAGTTAAGCGAACACCCGAAGCGCCACTTAGGAATCCCCCCCCCCCCCACAAACCAATAACATAACATAACCGTATTTGTGAATTTTTTCCCAATAATTTTGGGAAACACAAGTTTAGGTTAGAAGAATACTTGCAATAAAAAACTGTTCATTATTCGCAGAAATTTAACATTTTTACACTTTTACTCATCATATAAACTTTAGCAAAACCAAGGCCACACTAAAAAAAAACAGGCCGTAATCCGTAATGATCGTCAAGCATGACGTCACGATAGAAGACGGCAGTGACGTAGTGTTTACCGTTTGTGATCAGCTGCTTGTTTTAATCTTTCCTTGGAAAATAAATAAATAAATACCTACGTCATTGCCGTCTTCAATCGTGACTTCTTTGGGCTGACTGGACTCGCCATCAGATGATTTAAACAGAAATCTACTCATTAATTTGGCTTGTTTTTTATCAGCCTCTTCCAAATTCGCCTTACCCTTTTTATAATAAGTGCCAGACGTTTTCTTTTTTTCTGCCATTGTTTTCTTAGTATCGGCTCGCTAGATGTTTTACTCATTTATTCAGTTTATACTTTCTTCTTATTTAATGCGCTAATTATAAATTAAACTTAAAACACTCGTAATCATTCACTTATCAACAATCTTGAATCATCAAAACAACGCCATTACGATACCGATACACGCTAATACGCTAATACACTAAAAGAGAGCAATACAACGTAGTGCTCTGCTCTAGGATAAGAATCAGAAGGGAGGGGAGTTTCTTGTTGTGACAATTGGCGCTGCGCGCTTGCTTATCTCATCTCGAGCATGAGTGAATCGTGAAATGAAACCCACAGGCGCCGCGCCGTATGCTGCCGAGTGTCAGCTCACTACAAAGTCGAAACTGAAAATTTCATTGAGTCCTTGAGTTGTAGTGCTGTACAAATATACACATTTTTTAAGTGCTGTTGGTACAAACAGAATAAATGCCTTTATTGTGGTATACTTGAACTCTGAGCAAAAATAAACAAAATTACGTTGTTCACGTAAAAAAAAAATTGTTCCGTTGGCGCCACGGCGCCACTTTTTCGTGGCGCCATATGCGGCCGCGTAGTTCGCGTATGGGTTAAACCGGCCCTGTCTATGGAGAGTATCTTGTGGTTTCAGAGAGGACTTTGAAGCTGTCAATGGGATGAGCAACAAATACTGGGGTTGGGGTTTGGAAGATGATGAGTTCTATGTGAGACTGAAGGAAGCAGCCATAAATGTATCTCGTCCAGTAAATATCACCACTGGTATTGAAAACACCTTCAGGTTAGTGTTAAACTTACTGACTTTAAAATTATAACTTTAACATCTCAACTTAGTTTTATCTCAAGTAAGAATATCACTATGAGCCAAAAATAATTTTAGGTTTAAAATCAACAAGCAGGTCATCAGACTGTAGGCTACAATCATAAGTACTTCATAAGTATGTAAGTACAGGTCAGATAAAATGTCAAACAACCAACTCCTGGCCTATATATCTCTTAGTAAATCTCCTGGCTTTTCTACATTTTAAAAACTAAATTGTCTCCTTAGATCTTTTACCCTTTAGAAAAAGAAAAATTCGGATTTTTCTGTTTTTGACACCTGCAACAACAGGGGGTTTAAACGTCTGATAATGAGTCTCATGCGCAACCTACATTGGAAGCGGAATTTTACGGTCTGGGGGGGTCTGACCGAGTCTGCCGGAAACAAACACATGTAGCGCTGTCTCCCCTCATACACTTGCACTGATTGTAGTGTCGGGAAGAAGGAACGGGTCTGAGCTTGTCGGAAACAAATCAAAATAGTTTGTTTTTTCACCCGGTCAGACCAGACCCAGAGACCCAGTCGCTTCAAATTTCAAAACTTTGACCGAGTTTGGTGCATAGTTGAGGTTATTTATTTTGTCTGTTTGTGAGATTGTGCTAAAATGGTTGGCAAAGGAAAGTTTATGGAATTAGTGCGTGAGAAAGTGGCTTTGTGAAACCAGAAAGACAAATACTACCACAACCTAAATTGCTGTCCAATAACATTAAATAAAAAAGTTCCTCATCCATTTTTCAAACCGAAAACAATAACAAAAAACTAAACAACATTTACAAAAACTAGGTTAAAGTTGCCTAAAAATGCAAAATTACAAACAAACATAATCAACAATAGTATATTTCATTGCTAGAGCCTAAAGTGACTCTTTTTGACCTGAGGTCCGGAAAATGAGCGAGGGTAAAAAAGATACTCTTTGCCCGTGTGGTGAACTATATTTTTTGTCATATTGCATGATTAATTAACAAACTAAGCCAGAAAACGAAATAATTGTTATGTAAAGATAACCACTCAAAACTACTTCCAGCTTGATTTCAATTCTGCTAATGCAAATAAGGAGCTGTTTAGTAAGTGATTCAATCATTTCATCTATTACGATTGTGTTACAATACATTATACCCTCGATATGTCAAGCGATCGACAACACTAGGCTAAAACCTTACCTAATAAATCAATCGATAAATAATTACGAATACAACAGCAGATTTATTTATTCCCTAGATAGTAAAAATGCTACTTTAGACCCACAACGCATGCATTAAATACCCCCGCTGCAGCAAACCTGCAGACTAAGCTAATTCCAACTTGTCTGATTACATTTTTACTAAAATATTTCCATAAATAACACATATTTATTCCCTTATTTAAATTAAATTAGATTTAACGAGTGCTTAGGTTTGCTGCTATGGGGAAGGTAAATAAAAAGTGTTTTTTGACCATACGTCAATAGTATAGAATGAAATAAATAAATTTGCTACATTTTATCAATATATATCCATAAACAAGTAAACTACAACAATTTTCATTTTCTCCATAAGAATAACATGGGAATTTTAAATTACACTATCTTTAAATTTTCTCCGTGACCGTTAGACATACAACAGCGCTTCAATATACTAAATTATTTATTTTTTTAAGCTCTACAAAACGGTTTAGAAAGAAATTGCAAAATTTTTTGTTTTTAGGGTCAAGAATGGGAAAAACCCATTTTTACCCCATAAAAACCCCATAAACCCCCGTTCCCATGGTCCGATTAAGCTGGATCGCGAACTCGTTCGAATAAACGTAGGTTTACATGTATATACCAAATTTCATAAAAATCGGATCATTTTTGCTCGAGTTATCGCGCTAACGGACACATAATACCAAATTTTAAGGGGGGTAAAAACGTACAACGAATAAATGAACACCAGAACTTACCCGATGTTTAACCACAATAGCCTACTCCTAGGTCTATGTGTTGGCCATAGCTTGGGCTACGGGCCAAAGAACGTAGGCCTATTTTTATTCACAGTGAAGTACACAAACACATCCACAACCACATATTTATTCATAATAGCACTTAGTTTCACATAATAAAGTTAAACCGGTCGATTTTACAGGTATTTAATGCCGACGACGACATAACCCCAAACTGGTGTTTATTTGTTGACAGACGACAGACGAGAACTAGACTAGCTCAAGAGCTCAACAAGTGAATTTGCGATCAGCTGTTGTCTAGTAGTACTTGAGTTCGCCGCTTGAGCGCGTAAGCCTCAAGCGGGCAGGAACGAAGGATTTTACTCCAGGACAGGTTTATTCGTTCGTACGCCGTCTTCAAAGTAACTTCGTCGTTACATCTACGCTTGCACGACAATCGACAATTCGTTTACTGAAGGTTAGATATACTAGTTAGGCCTTTTTTACGTTTTATTTTATTTTCGTTTCCCACGCGCATTTTCGTTTTACGACTATTTTCGTTCCAAAATTCGATTTTAAATAACTAAATTTTAATAACTTATTTTCCGCCGACTTGAGTCTTGACCCGCCAGTAACTAGCGGTGATTTTCGTTTGGTTATAAATCATAAATCTTTATTGGTCATTAAATAACATATGTTACAATAGACCTCGTTAACAAAAAAAAGGGCCATAGATTCTAGATAGTATAACATGGTCTATAACATGGAATCTTCACTAAACTTAAATATAACAAAGACAACAAGAAAATAAAGCTAAAATCATTTGAAAAACACAGAACTATATATATGAAACAAAAGTGAGGTACCTACTTAAACAAGTGTTTGAAAGACTAGGTAACAGTTGACTAGGGACTAAGTAAGAACTAGATAACAATTTTACCATTACAATTGTATTCTGCAAAAAATTCATCTAAACTGTAAAAAGGGTGGTCAGCAAGCCAAACCATCAGTTTAGATTTAAATCAATTAGTTTCAAAATTGCGATTTCTACGAATGATTATTACGTACTTTTATCCTAATTAATTCACCGTTTTAACACCCGTCTGAGTTCTAAACCCCGTCTGTGGCGGGCGAGAGAACCTAGTCTTGGGAGTAGGCTGGTTTGAACAATCAGCCACGAATATTAATATTAACATCGTTTTCAATCATATCACGATAAATTCTCTGTCCAATTATATGAATTAGGCCCAGACGACTCTGTAGGAATTGTTTTTACCTTTTATTCGATATTATATTATTTACCAACGTCCATAGCCAGATAGTTTACAGTTTAATGTGAGTATTTATATCACATTGGCTTAAGATTGAATACTCGTCGGCCCTACAGAGTCATTCTAAAAGTTAGGCAAAATTTAACAAAACACGTTCACGAAGGTGAGGATGACATAGCTCCCACTGAGCGTCTGCAGGATTTCCTGAGTGCTTCTAGAGCTCTGAGCCTTCAATTAAATTTTAATATATTGATCAGTCAAAGCCGTGACAACTTCGTATCGACCCCTGGATTTTTCTCGGCTCCTTCTGAGCACTCCGGGGAAGAAATTTGAGTGTGGCCGGTTCTAGGGGTAGGCCTAGCCTGACTTAGGTGAATACTAGTTTATTCCTCCCCTAGAATTTTGCGTCACAATATATATATATATATATGAATTTGAACGGATGGTCTTTTTGGCCTCTAGGGACCTCAAAATGAAAAATGAAATCGGTCCCGGGTCCAGGTCTTACCATGAGTACTACGGTAATAGCTTATTCCCTAAATGGGAAATTTGCTAAAACTACTGTTTTTGCTGCAGTATGACAAAAAAAAGTTTAATAACAACAAAAATGCTTGGCTATCAACTCTGCTTGCTGTGTGCTTGTGACTATGGAGTGTGTGAGTAAATACCGTGGACTGACTGCAGTGTAGGAGCGTCCACCCGGCTTCTGGTCTGAAGAGTCGGGTCTGGTCTGGTCAGGTTGGTTGATCAGTATAAACTCCGCTTCCAATATAGGTCACGCCTCAGGGTATTGAATTAACAAATTAACCAGTTATTGAGTAGTTTTGTATGTTTCCAGACACATGCATGACCGTGTGGTTCGTAAGCGTGACATGACCAAATGTTTCAATCAGCGTGAGGTGACCCGACGGCGAGACAGACAGACAGGGCTGCGTGACGTATCCTACAGGTATGCACAACTTCCATATATTTTAGGATCCATAAGTTGTTCCTTACTTTTAGTTCTGCCTCTTTTATTTTTCATTTAACAGTAAGAACTATGAAATTTGTTTTTTATTGCTATTTTTGTAGAACAAACTAGAGGTGTGGAATCCTCTAGATAAGATTTTGTTGTCTAGCCAAACTTATAGGAAAAAACTTCAGCTAACCATTTTTCAAATCAATTTTTTGCGTATAATGAATGTGTCGTAAAGACACACTCTAGGTTTAATTTTTCTCACTTTTTTAAGGTAATTGGTAACACCACAATTAACTCCTGCACGATTGCTGAAAAAACCTTGAAAATCTCTTGTGATCAAGTGAAATTGTCATCATCCCTTGACAAGATTGCTGCAACATCATGATTACGATTGTGGTGACATCATAGATTTTCAGTTGCGCAAACTTTTTGTTTTCCGTTTTTATAATGAGTGAAGTAACTAGACAGGGTAGGGGAAGACCTGCAAGACGTGGAAGAGTATCGAGGAATTCAACTGACACAAGAAATGCTGAAAGAGAACATCATAAGGCCTAACTATGAAAGAAATCCACAAGCTGGTTTACAACCTGCCTTCAGAAGAACGCTGGAAAATGAGTTGAGTGTTGTTTCTGACAATCTACGTCCTCTTAACAGCACTTGCATGTATTGTGGCGTATTTAACTTTGCAGACGAGGGCACAAATGGCCATTTCAACGCATGTTGCCACAATGCAGTGGTGTTGATATGGGGGGGAGGGGGGATCAGTTGGATATATCCCCCCCCTTGAACCTATAATGGGTAAGCAGGCCCGGTCTGGCTCCATTGGAGGCCCTCGGCTAGATGTTGATTTGAGGCCCCCAGTCAGAAATAAAACGAGGACCATGGGGTGCTCTCACGGCAACAATTAGTTAGCATATATGTTTGCTGCATGCCGCAGGTTCATAAAAGGGGCCTAATGTGGTTTTAAATGATTAAAAGTTTTTGATAATTTTGATTAAAATAATTATTGCTAAATTTCCATAAATTAAAATCTTTGTATTTATAAATTTAATTCCAAGGTATCAATCAATTTAAATTTGATATAAAATTTGCTCGTATTTATAGTCACCTCTACAGCTACCATAAAATTTAAAGGCCTATTCTTAAAATTTTTTTAAGTCTTCAATTTAAAAATAAGACCAAAACCTAGTTCTTGGAGTTTTTGCCATACATGGTAAAAAAGCATATCACGTACCACTTTTGAATTTTGAATGCATCTATGAATGGACCACATTTACTGTTTATCACACACTTTACTCCATAGTTGTACTTCAGCAACAAAGACAAACAAAAATAATCAAAAGTATTTTAATTTAAACGTTGTAAGGATATGATGTTGAGCCCCATAACTCAATACCATATTGCATAATGGAAAAAAATATGGCATAATAAACTATGACCTTTGTTTTAGAATCTATTATGTTTCTTAAAACATACATCTGGAAACAAGCTGAATGTAATTTTTTAGCTAATATTTCAATGTGATGTTTCCATGTCAAATTTTTATCAATATTTAAGCCTAAAAATTTTGTTTGTTCGACAAAAGCTAAAATATCGTTTTCATATGGTAATTCAAAAATTATGTTTTGCTTATTCTGTAGTGTTTGGAATTGCATAATATGTGTTTTAGAATTATTAAGTTTTAAACCATTTGCCGCAAACCAGTTAGTTAAGTCTACAATGGAACGATCAAGCTCTAATCTAAGAGTATGTACATCATTTGCTTTTACTATTGCTGTAGTGTCATCAGCATATAATATTAGGTTTGATGATACATTGTTAGGAACATCATTGATGAATATTAAAAATAACAAGGGACCTAAAATTGATCCTTGGGGTACACCACAATTGATGGTTTGCCATTTTGAAATGAAATGTTTGCCATTTTTCTTAATGACAGTTCTCTGTTGCCTGTTTTTTTTAAATAAGATTGTATCCAAGACAGTGCCAGATCAGAGAAGTTATAATATTTAAGTTTATTACTTAATACATCATGGTTCACACAATCGAACGCCTTGGACAGATCACAGAACACTGCTAAAAAACTAGTCCACCTGCAATTAAAGCAAAAAGTTAAATTTCATAAGTACAAAATTGGATACAATTTTTTTAAGTATTAACACCAGATTTAACTTCCTAAACGCTTAAAAATAGTGTTTAGAGAAGTTATTTTTTTCAAATTTTCCGGGGGGGGGACCCCCGGTATCCCCCATTGACAAGAATCTATCTACACCACTGCCACAATGGACTCATTAACATGCCACAACCACAATTAAATGACAAACTAAAAAAAATTTTTTACATGATTCTAACTTCATAAAAAAACATAAGGCAATACAACAGTGCAATGGCTTTTGCGTCGCTTTTCACTACACAAAAAGAGATTCCAGGAAATGGGTCTTACTGTTTTGAAATTCCGGGACAAATTCATAGATATATTTCTGACTTACTACCGTGAAATGGGGAGTTGCCTTCATATGCACAATTGTGTCTAAATTAGAGGCTATGGCACCTACAGGCCACTAGTCATTAATATTGCGCAATCATGACTGTATAGCAATAAATCACAATCACGTAAAGAACAAAACAAAACAGTAGAGAGTTTTGTAAGCTACTGCTCGTGATAGGCCATAGGGCTAGTAGTGTACTACTTCATCACAACAGAGAAATGTCAATAATAATAATCAACTATAACATTGGTGTTGCCTTAGTTGAAACAAATTGTATTGAAAACAATAAAACATCATCATAAAAGTGTATAATCATTAAAAGATAATAAAAACACTCGTAAAAGGAATAAAGGTAACGATGTTGCTATTCCTTCTCATTGCTCTTCTGTTCTTTCTTAGGTTTCTCTTCATCAAAAAATTCAAAAAGTCGCCATAGTTACTTATCACCCAATCCCAATTTACTAAGCATTACGAAGAAATCAGTTCTCAGTGAATGAAATCAAAAAATCTGTTGGGTTGGGACATAGCGCACAGCAGACAGATGTGTAAAAAAGATCAGATGAATGTTAGCGCAAGCGTTGACGTCACCTTTCCATTTCATTTTCATCAAGAAACTGTGATTTTTCAAAAAACAATAATGTGGGGGGGGGTTGTTATATCGAGGGAAAGATGTAGACAATTCGTTAAGTAGAGGTTAAATTCACTATTTAGAGGTTCTGACAATGTAATGATAAATTTCATGATGGTTGGCCACTGGATTGTGAATTTTTGTATACAAAATTATGTACGATTCACACTGGAATGTCAGGATCGTCAAAAATTTGTTAAATCAAGGTTGTTGATATGGTTTGTTTGTTATGTAGATGTAAAATATCCATTGTGTGTCATGGAGAGTTCTAGTGGATTTAAAAAAATTCATTATATCAAGGAATTTGTTATATCAAGGTTAGACTGTAATTTATTTGGTTAAAGCTATATACAAAAAATATCAAAAAAATTTGAAAACGGTCTCACAGATCAAAGAAACCAAACCTGTGATAAAAATCAAGACACCACTCTAGGGTTAATATAGGAACATTCAGGGCCTACGTCAATTACAATTTAAAATATTGTGGTTTTAAGTTACTTCACCGAGCGGAGGTTTAAAAAAAACTCCTAACTGTCGTTACCGTATAGTTTGCTATTTTAATTATATTAAAATACAAAACTTAAGCTCATTTTCTGCTCTTTGAGACTTAGTAATTGGTAATTCAATGAAATAGTGGAATCATAAGGTTTTTTTTTTACTCTAAAATTTCTAATAAAACTGGTTTTCCCCTTTTCCCTTGTAGAAGTTAACAAAAAAGTTCACAACTCCTGAACCGTTTGAGATATTTTGTTGATAAATAAAAATCAAAAGTAAGCTAATTTTTCCCTCTACAATCCACTTGCCCCAACATTAAGAAATATACAGTGCAATGCTACATTAAGGGGGGGGGCAGATCAAGGGGAAGTGTACAACCTAAACATAATTTTTAAAAAAATTCTCAAAAACACAAAATTAATATAAAAAAATAAAAAAACACATATACAAACATTCCAAAGAATAAGCTCAGGAAATTTGATATTTTGTAGCACCTACAAGTATTTTTACCTTCTCCATATGGAGAAAGTATTGTTAATGTTTTCGTCAACATTTTAGAGTAATTCTGAACAAAATGGTATTAATCCCATTTCCATAAAAGTTACGACTCAAAAGTTATTGTAAATTATGTTTTTTTCCCATAAAAAAACCATACAATATTAAAAAATCAGAATTAAAAAAAAAACCGCTTTTGTTGAAAATTAGCTTAGTATGTTATTGTCCTTTAAATTCTGAACAAAACTGTACAAATCCCATTCCCGTAAAAATTTAGGTTCAAAAGTTATTGTACAGTAGAGAGTCAAAAATCCAAACCAATTATAGGTGTAGTTCAGATTAACGATTTGTTCGGATTTTCAAACATAGCCTAGAAATGCCTAATAGACACATAATTAGGCATACAGAGTTTATACATTGGAAACAAACAAAACACAGACTGGCTCGGCGCGTTCACTCATTTCCCTGCCAGGCGCTGACTGTTTGGCCCGCGAAATTGTAAAACATCTGTTGTCTCTGTGCTAATTCAATATTTTAGAACCCTCGGAATTTTGACGTTCGGATTTTCGATTCTCTTCTGTAACCTATTATATTTTTATTTTCCCATAAAAACCCATGAAAAAAACAAAAAAAATGATTTAAAAAAAACTATTCTGATTGAAATTTGTCTGTTATGGTCCTTTTAATTCTAAACAATGTAGTGCAGCCCCCTATTCCTGTAAAAACTACGGTTCAAAAGTTAATGCAACTTTTGTGCTTTTACCTATTAAATATCATAGTGAGTTACTCTCATCGCTTACCAATGATAAAGGTTGTTGACAAGCTAATGGGAGAAAGTATGTGTCAGATTGCTGATACCTTTATTTAATCTGTGGCCTGAGTTGTACTATGTGATTTCCTGATTTGGGGCATCCACTTACTTACCTCACATGACCTTAACATAATTATGCTTATAATATAATTCCTATAATTTATTTTCAGTTGAAAAAGTCCTTTGATTTACGAATTAATAAAGCTAATTAATATGTTACGTAACAATACCAATGTTTCAGCATACAAGCACGCCGCACATTGATGATTGACAATGCTGCAGTCACAGTGGTCAATGTGGCCCTACGGTGTAACAGAACCGTGACTCCATGGTGCTTGTGTAGCGAGGAGAAAAAATCTAGCACTGCCAACCTAGCAAAGGTGAAAACTGTAAAGAAAGAACCAGCCAGATGATCCAAGGGGAAACACTAAACACCCAGAGGTGTTAGATTTGTTGAAAACGCCCTGTGTAACCAGGTATTTTAATTATGTTAAATGTGTTTTTATCTTGTTGTTAAGTGGCAGTACTGAGCAATTAACTGAAGTAAACTAAGCATTTGTGCCAAAAAATGTTTGTTAATTACCTGAGAGCAACTTTAATTTCAACATTTATATACTCATACTCTGTGTGTTGTATCTGTGAAAAAAATCAGACTTTAGAAAAAATATTCATTAATATACATCTACATACGGTTATACCAATAGTCATTAGGAGGTAAGACAGATTACAATACATTTTAATTTTATTAATGAATTACTTTTTTAAGATGAAACTAGGCCTTCCTGTATAATTGGGTTGAACTATAAGAGTTTCTGGGCTTCATAGTTTAGCTAAATTTGTAGCCTATGAAAATACTTTTAATGTACGTTGAAAGATAAGACTCATGTAGGGGACCACGATAACAACAATAAGTTTGGAGCTGATGTTGATTATAAACAACTTATGATGAACTTTTGAATGATGATGATTTTTTTAGTATACTTTTGTGACATTTTATGACACTTTATAATATTGCATGTGGCTTCTTGTAGTTGTAATCTATTACTGTTTGCTAACAATTCCAAAGCTTTCATAACTGTGAACAGCTTGACAAAGATAAATCTCCTGTACTTTTTGTAATGACAATAAGTATGTCAAACCTAAAAGAATTTTAAAATATGTGATGTGGAAAGCGTAAAGGGACCTCTTGTTGGTCGGCTATGCAACATTTTCAGTACATCCGATATAAGTAATTAAGGTGGAAAATATCGAAATTGGGTTTTTTATCGATTGTTATACCTCATTTAACTCAGAACAGGACATTATCGGTTAAAATATTGAATCGAAGATGTAAAAGAATAAATCATTTTGTCAGCCTCTGCACGGTCTGAGAAAAGGTACCTCTTGTCGCTCAATGTTATTTCGCCGTAACAACAAGAGGTCCCATTTCTAATGTTCACTTTATTAACAGACTTTAGTCCAAAAAATGAATTGTCCTGCATTCTAGTGGAAATTTAGTGTGCTATAACAAAGTTCAGTTTAAGGGAAACAAATTATCTCACAATTTTTGCAATCCCGACAAGAGGTACCTTTTATTATGTAATGGAGAAATAACTTAGGACCGACAAGAGGTCTCTTTTTCTGAAATATGATCTTTACGACATGCTTCGATAAAACAATTATTTAAATTAAAACTACCGTGAGTTAAGACAAAAATTGGTACTGCCTCCAAAGAGGACATTGTAAGCTTTCTTTTGTTACCAAAATTGTTTCTTAAAAAAAACTGTTTTTATGCATATTTGAAATTTTTAAATGGTTTTTTAATGACCCTTTTTGCATAGCAAAATTTCAAAGTTTTATAACTTTACTTTAACAAAGAAAATCTTAGATGCAGTGGACTTGCACCAAGTGATTCGGAATTCAATAAGGAATTCAAGTATATAACTCAAAATCAAAAAATTCCCGACAAGAGGGTGGGTCATGATTTTCCATATTTTGTTTGATCAGTCTTCCAATATAATTTTTTCTCTCCACATCACATATATTTTTACCCATGCCCCAGCATAAAATACTGTAATCTCTGTTGTTCAGTGTAATGAAAGTGTCTTAAAATATGATAATAATACTCTAAATATTCGTTCGCTGTAACAAAAGAAAGTTGCACACCATGATTTTCCATATTTTGTTTTATCAGTCTTCCAATTCAAGAGTGTACAGATCCTTTTCCTTGGTGTGCTCTTTTTGTCAAGTTTGCAGCTTTAGGTTAGCTTTAGTTTTTCAAATTTACTTTTCAAATTAGATGTACTGGTAGTAGAAGGTAGTGAAGAAGTTAAACCCCTAAATCGGCATTCGTCTTTTACTGTAGTACTTATAATGCCTGCACTAGTTGTAAAACCGTGATAAATGTTGAAGACTCCAACTATTGCAATACTTGGTTGATACAGCAGTTAGCTCTCAATAGTTTGACATTGTTGTCAAAGTGTCAAGGAAAAAACTCACTGTCTTTTGTAAAAGAAACCTAAAACACTTTGATTTCTTTAATCTGATATTATGTTTACAATTTTGATAGTTATTACGCTGAGTAGTTAAGTGGTTAGAGTTATCACCACTTAATTTGTAAGTTGCCGATTTAATTATCACACCAAAAATTATTGTGTACACAACAAACTTTCTTTTAACATCAATGTAACATTGTTTTTGATAAAATAGTTGCACTTCATTGCATTTCAAAACTTTTTGTTCAAATATCATGTTTATTGGAATAAATCACACTGCTGTACGTATCAAATGTTTGCTTAGGTTTTCCAAACGCATCTGTAACTTCTGCATGTGCTTGATGTACTGTAGATGAATATCTACCTCAGTATCTAAAAGCCAATGCTGTAACTGTCAGATTATTTAGAGTTGACTATATAGTCAATATTTAATTCTCACCCAAACATGTGAATAATAAGTTTATAATGTTCGTACAGATATAGGATTGTTGTAACACTATTTTTCATGTGTAATGATTTTTTTATAAAGAGTTTAGTTTTTGTAAGTACTGTGAATTGTTTCTTCTGTTACTAAGTACATACTGTATAGTGATTTTATTTGAGTAAATATCCTATTATCATTTTTGTGATTGTGAATATATCTGTATAGGCTGCTTTATTTATTTATAACTTATGAAAAAGGGTTGATTTTTGAACAGTTATCAAATTATTGTTCCAGAAAATTAGTAAGTAGATAATATATCCCCCAGTTTCTGTAATTTTTATTTTAAGTTTTTAAAAGCAGACCTTGTGATGTAGTAAGTAGTTTATCAAGTTGTGCTGTTACTTATATTTTTTTATGTTGTTAGCCCCTGAATCACTGATAGTAAATGTAACAAAAATACCTTATACCTTTTACGTATACATTTTACTAACGAGTGATTCTTATAGTTCTATATAGATTCTAGACCACCAATTACGACCATCAAAAGGAGTCTTCTTCAGGCCACAAAATGTCACTTTTCAAACAGTATCACCCGAAAATACATACACAAACTCCGCCAAATCATGTAATCACAAATATTTCGCCAAGTAAAAAGACCATTTCGGTGTCCCATATACGTCTCTGCACATCTCTCTTTTACTTTATACCTACTTTGTTCTACTATACTTACGTGCTGTTGTAAATGAAAAGTTACACTTATGGCCCGAAGAAATCTCCTTCTGATAGTCGTAACTGGTAGGCTAGATAGGACTAGTATGAATTACTCGGCAGTAGAAGGTATTTTAACTACCTACTTGTATTGTGAGTCGGTAGCTTAATCGATAGTACTATGGACTTAAAGCCAATGGTAACTATGGCTTGGGCTCGATCCTGGTTCCTGCCACTACTTTTTATCAGTACATTTGTACCGTATGATCACGTTTTGCTGGATATCGTTCCATGCACGGGCCTGAGGTTTGTGTGGGCAGACAAATGCAAGGTTAAAGAGGCCGCTAACCTCCTTAAAAAAATTGTATATTATTTTTTTCATATCCTGTGATGTTAATGTTATTATTAAAAATGTTTGTATAACATTATCTTGATTTCTCTGTTCATGCACATGCTCCTTATACCACACATATACTATTATTAGGCAATTGATCCTCTAATATTTTGTTCCATATTCCATTCCATTCTAACATTTAGCTATTCCTAATTTTAGGATTTCGAATTCTGTTCAGTTGAACCGTTGACATGCACTGCTGTATTATTCTATCACTTGAGCTACTGGCATGCACTGCTGTATTATTCTGTTCACTTGAACCATTGACATGCACTGCTGTATTATTCTGTTCAGTTGAACCGTTGACATGCACTACTGTATTATTCTGTTCAGTTGAGCTACTGGCATGCACTGCTGTATTATTCTGTGTACTTGAACCGTTGACATGCACTGCTGTATTATTCTGTTCAGTTGAACCGTTGACATGCACTGCTGTATTATTCTGTTCACTTGAACCGTTGACATGCACTGCTGTATTATTCTGTTCACTTGAACCGTTGACATGCACTGCTGTATTATTCTGTTCAGTTGAACCGTTGACATGCACTGCTGTATTATTCTGTGTACTTGAACCATTGATATGCACTGCTGTATTATTCTGTGTACTTGAACCATTGACATGCACTGCTGTATTATTCTGTTCACTTGAACCATTGACATGCACTGCTGTATTATTCTGTTCAGTTGAGCTACTGGCATGCACTGCTGTATTATTCTGTTCACTTGAACCGTTGACATGCACTACTGTATTATTCTGTTCAGTTGAGCTACTGGCATGCACTGCTGTATTATTCTGTTCAGTTGAACCGTTGACATGCACTACTGTATTATTCTGTTCAGTTGAGCTACTGGCATGCACTGCTGTATTATTCTGTTCACTTGAACCGTTGACATGCACTGCTGTATTATTCTGTTCAGTTGAACCGTTGACATGCACTGCTGTATTATTCTGTTCACTTGAACCGTTGACATGCACTGCTGTATTATTCTGTTCACTTGAACCGTTGACATGCACTGCTGTATTATTCTGTTCACTTGAACCGTTGACATGCACTGCTGTATTATTCTGTGTACTTGAACCATTGACATGCACTGCTGTATTATTCTGTTCACTTGAACCATTGACATGCACTGCTGTATTATTCTGTGTACTTGAACCATTGATATGCACTGCTGTATTATTCTGTTCACTTGAACCATTGACATGCACTGCTGTATTATTCTGTTCACTTGAGCTACTGGTATGCACGGCTGTATATTTCTACTATCAAATATTGTCTTTTTATTTGACTGCTAAAAGGTAATTCCCGACTGGAATGTAGTTTCATAACTCTGTGTATTGCGGTAACAGTTCATTACGCAATTGACTTCTGTAGATGTTTAACAGTTCTGTAGATGGCTGGTATGGTCTGACATCCCATGCTTTTCTTGTTATGTTTGTCTTTCAGTTTCATTATTGCAGACAAAATATCACTTCCGTTACTTTGTATTATACAGGGTGAGGCCAAAAAACTGATATATTTTATGCAGCGCACTGATCACGCTGAACAGCGACAGGTCGTCTGAGAGTCGTGGGGTTAGGTTCGTTGGAAAGCCTACACGATGCCATTATCGCTCATAGAACAGTGGTCACCTGAGTAACGTGCGTTTGTTATTGAGTCAAATTTAAAAAGGAGGTTTTAAATTAAAACCCTAAATCTATACTTATTTAATAGGCAAGCAGGATTTTTGTGACAATTACTCCTCCGAAACTACTGAACCGATTGTCATGTTTTTGGTGTCATTGGAAAGAGCGTAACGTGAAGTTGTGCAGGAAACTTTATTTTTAGGTGTGAGGGGCCCTTTAAAGTTTCGTATTTCTCCATAAGATTAACATGGGAAACAAATATTGTTTTGAAACTCCAGCTGTTGTCAGAAATTAAATATTAATAACTATTGGTCTCCATGGAAGCATGATAAAATTCACAATGTTTACATTTGCTTTGACATTTAAATGTAAACAACCAGAACTGTCAAATGCCTATTTCACAATTTCAGACAGATGATCCAAAAATATAAACAACTATTTGTTAGGTTTATTTAATCTTAAACTTTACGAGGTGTTAGCCCCTCCTACGGGAATTCAGTAGTCAGTTGAAACCGTTTCAATTCAGATCAGCTAGTTTACACATATAAAGACAAAGTTTCTTGCAGTTTTAATGTGAAAAATCATCTTGTAAACAAATGTTGTGTGACCAAATATGTTTTTATTCCATCATAGGCCTGTACGATATGCATTTTAAATCTGATAATTTTACAATAAAACAGCAATTCTGCAATTTTTATGATGTGAAAAGCGTTGAAGTGAGGTTTGGAGCCAATTCGCACAGACGCACACTGATTATAAGTAGCATACAGTAGAGAGAGTAATAGTCAATTGGGTTGTGTTGCTAGCCTAGTGGTTAGCGTCTCGGACTTCGGTGCGGGAGGGACGGGTTCAATCCCCGGCACATCCAGTGAACATTTATCTCTCGTAACTCTCGTGAAATGCCACTGGCGTAAAAAAAAAAAAAAAAAAAATTGAGAAGTGTATATAGACCTAGTCAACGATACCACCTTCCATAGCATACCTGCCTCTTCCATAATTATTATCAGCACAATACAACTATTATACACAATTTCCAGTAGGTCTGAATAGAAACGACCTAAAATAAAACGAAAACATCCAATAAAATTCACAGTACACATAATTTAACTTTGGTGTCCCAACATCAAAACTAATCATCACACCTATCCTTTATATCAATTTCACTGCATTAATTGTTAAATAAATAAGTGTAAACAAAGAAAAGTAAAGACAATAACAGTTTGTTTTGAAACAGCTGTTTGGTTCAAATAACATTCATTTGAAAAAAAGAACTGGCCAAATGTAGCAGGAATATAAAAAGTAAACACGCTAGTAAAGCTAATGGCGTTATTGTCAATGTTTATTATCCATCCCGTTATCAGTTCCATCCTTGATAATTACCCACCCTCATTGAATAAATTTACCATTGCGCTAGGCACCCCCAAACACAAACAGTGCAAAACAGTGCAATCTGCCAATGTATATTATTGTATAATGGTGTTTCCGTATGAAATAAATAAATAACCACAACTGAACACGATTTCGTAAAAGGATGGTTCGTCTAATTGCAGTATCCTAGGTCAAGGTTGACATTGTGTTCAATCTATGTCATCCATCTATTTATCTTTGTATAAAACCCGGCTGAGGTTGTGGTGGTAATTTAAAATCGTGATTCCTGATTATTCTTGATCTTCTTTTTATGACATAAATATTTCCGGGCCTAATCCAAACAAAGTTAAAGCAGACAAACATTAATTACGGAAAGTAAATAAAAGAAACGTCTTATAACACTTAAAACATATATTTACGCTTATACTTATACTTTTATTTACTTTCCGTAAATTTAATAACACGTACAATGCTGATCAAGAAGTTAAACATTAATTGTAAACAAAAACCTACCATGAAGAATTAAAACATGTAAACATTGTTATTTTTCTAACCTTTCCTTGAAAAGTGGAGCAGTAAAATAATTTGCATTTATCCTTTTTATTAAAACTCGTGTACAGAGCCTCGATTTGTACTGTGGTTTAATTAATTTTGGTCTAAACTATTTTAAACTGTGGTCTAATTATCTCTACTAATCTTACTTATTTCCCATAATCAATGACAAAATAAGAGTAAATAAAATAACCTCAGTTCCATAGTTTATATTTAACCAGCTGTAGTTCAAACAAATTATATTGCTCTAAAACAAATCGAAGATTACAAAGATTGTTTTAAAAAATAATTTGAACATCCTAGTATTTTACTATGTATATTTAATTAATCTGTCATCCTCTTACAGAAGAATTGAACGTATCAATGATTAGCATTACACATAGTATAAATAAGTCAACCCTAAGTATGTCTTTACATTTTTATCCAAATGCTGAATTAGTGACACAAAAGCTGAATGTTTACAGCTGTTATGTTAAGCAAATTATTTTATTCCAAAAGCTGGTTTAGAATCTTAGCGTCGGCTGCTGGACTTTTTAAAAATTAAAACTTAATTTCTAAAAAACTGGGACCCTAAACTAAAATTGTGGCTTCGATATTCCCTAGTTCTCAAAATTATCTTTCTTTCAACACAAAAATCATGAAAATCCGTCGAGTGGTTGATTCAGAATCGTGAAATAAAAAAACACTGTTTCGTTTTAATATTATGTGTAAATTATTTATGTTGTATTAAAAATGTGTATAGTTTTGGATGTTTGTTTGTGTTTAATGATATAAGTTATTATATTGAATTTTTATTTTAATAGTCCGGCAGAATTGACCCGAACCTGGTTTTGTCCTATTAAGTTTTTTTTATTGTTGATATGTGATATCTAGGGTAAGTAGGCCCTAAAACCACCGGGTACTTTTTTGGTACCCTTGGGCAACAGCCGCCATCTTGGAAAATGGTGGGAAACGTAAATAACAGTGTAAGCTTTTACTTAAACCAATGTAATTAAAAAACTATTTAAGATGGAACAATGCATGTTATTTTAAATTGTTTATGGTTAAATTCCCTACTCAGAAATACCATATATTAAATATATATAATTTGTTTTAAGGTCAGTATTACTTTTCAAAGTTTATAATTTATAAAAAAGTAATGACATATTTATTTTTATTTCAATTTTGCTCCTTAATTACTCAAAATATGACTATAATATATATTATAAAGTTTGTAGAGCTTTAAATTTAGCATCGAATACATCTATGGGATGTTTTGTTGGATCAAGGGTAACGCCAAAACAAAGCGTTAGAAAATAATTTTTTTATTGATTTTCAATGAAAAATAAGGACATTTTATACGTTCAATAAAATTGTAACATCTTTCCTGAGGCCATCCGCCACTTCTCTTTGGCTTTTTTTACTATTGAAATGTTTGTAAAATTACTAAATTTAATCTGAACTATTAACTGTTTATATTTAAGGACTTTAAGGCCGATCTATTCATCTTCACTCCAAAGAAACAATATTTTTTCAAAAAGAAAAGTTTAAATTTTGACCAACCCATTGAATTATTATTATTAGATGTTGTATGTATTGCAATAAAAACACTCAGTAAACAATTGGCATCCATTTGACATGTAGATCACTGAAATCGAACAAGTCGGAGGTGAATTACAAGACTTCAACCAACAAAGATTTTAATGGTTGTATAGTTTTCTTTGAAAAAAGATTGTTACCTCGAGTACTGATTATGCGATGTTATCTTTTTTCTATAATAAAATACTCAGCAAACTACTGGCTTTCATTTGAGGCATTGGTCATTTAAATCTATCGAGTTTAAGGGGATTTATAGTACTTTAACCAAATAACATTTTAGTTTTTCCAAGATTTGTCTTTAATTAAAGATATTATCTCAGGTTATAATTATGTTATATGAAATGTTATATACTATGAATACTCAGTGAGTTACTGGCTTTAATCCAAGCCATTGACTATTAAAATCGGCTGAGTTGAACATGAGTTGGGGACCCCAAACAATAAAAATTTGGTTTCTTTTTTTACAATTTATCTTTAGTTAATGATTGTGTCTCAAGTTATTTTTACGTGATATTGTATGTTGTGGTATGGGAATACTCAGTGAGTTGATGCGGTTCTTTTCAGCTATTATTTATTGCAATCTGACGGGTTTGGGGCGAGTTATAAGCTTAAACGTAGAATAAAAGTTGTTTTTTCTTAACTTTCTTCTGTATTTAAAGACATATTTCTCAGCTGCTATGTGTACTATGTCATTCGTTCTGGTCTAAAAACACTAGGTCAACTTAGAACTTTCATTTGAGACAATTTTCATTTAAATATGTAGAGCTTAAGATGAGTTGTAGACCTCTAACTAACATTAGGTTTTCAATTTTTAAGGACTGTCTTTTATTAAAGATCTATATCTCAAGATCTAAATAAGCTGTGTTATTCATTTTGGTGAAGAAAACCTGAGTAAGCTGTGGGTAAACTGAAATATGAACCTAACCTGGTTTATTCCTATCAAGTTTTTTTTTTTGTTGCGTTTGATATACACCAGTGAACAGAATTGAAAAATGTGTAGTTGCGTGAGCTCAGGCTTACCTTGCACAGTATTTTGTCATTGTGGATATAATACCTGTTTAAATAGAAAAATATAAACTCAAGACGTCAGTGAAGACTACGACAATGTAGAAAAATGAGTTAATACCCCCGCTGCAGAAACCTGACGAATAAGCAAATTTCCATTTGCCTGGATTGATTTTCAATTAATCTATTAAATTCACATTTATGTTTAACGAGTACCTAGGTTTGCTGCTAAAGGTAAACTAATAAAGTGTATTTTTTATTAAAATATTAATAGCTTAGTATAGAATAAATAAGTATATCCAAAAACAAGCCAACTAAAACATTTTACAATTTTCTCTATAAGAATAACATGGGATTTTAAATTAACTATTTTTTTAAATTTTATATATATATACATATATATTTGAGCGAAAGAGTGTTTTGGCCTCTGGGGCAGCAAAATGATGTAAATCGGTCCCGGGCCTAGGTCTTACCATGAG